TTTAATGAAATGTGTAAGTGCAGATAAATTAGAGCTGTCATAATCTTATTAGGAGTATTCAAAATGTTGTCTTGGAAGTGTTTCAGTGTTGTTTAAATGATCAAAGTATTTTTTGTGAGTATTCAATGACTTAGAGAGTGTTTTGAAGTGTTCAAAGTATAGTGTGTGAGCGTATTAACTTCTTAATATGTAAAATATGTGACTATGAATTTTAGCGAAAAGTGTTATATGTTAGTGGTGACTTTCTGCTTTACTGTGTCCCTTATTAACTTTAATGAACTAAAAGGGGGATAAAACGAGAAAAATTGGGGTTAAGAGTGAAATTTGTGAGGTGTTGGTGGGAGGTGTGAGGTTTGGGAGGTGTGGAGAAGGTAGTTACTTCGTGGGGAGGACCTGAGATGAAATAGTAAAAAAATTGTCTAACTTGTGTTGTAAAGAAATTGTGGGATTGATGTGGGTATTAACGAAAAAAAATGTGACTTTCTGACCTAAATAGGTAAAAAACGAGAAAAATTCGGGTTAAGAGTTGAAAATGTCTTCCCTATGATGTAGGTACTATAATCCCCTGATACTTTAATGAACTAAAAGGGTCGACAAGATTCAGGCCTGTAGGGTCATCGCGTGACGGTCACTGACAGAAGGTAAGTTCCCTTATTAACTTTAATGATATAAACGGTCGACAAGATGAGCCTGTAGGTGTGAGGTCATCATGTACGTCCCTGCTGACGCATAGGGGCAGGCGCAGTCGACAAGATTCAGCTTGTATGTGTGTGTGTGAGTGTGTGTTGTTGTGAGTGTGTGTGTGTGTGTGTGTGTGTGTGGGGTGTGTGTGTGGACGTCACAGGCCGCCGAGTAAACAACCCCTTTTACTTCATTTAATCTTAATGAGCGGAATACTGACGTCACACTGTTTAGCCTGTAGTAAGCATGCTTACCCCCAGAGGGGGGAATCCAAAAACATGGTAATATTGAGAAATTTTGGGGGGTTGGGGGTGAAATCGGAGGGGGAATTTCGAAAACCACCATAGGGGTAATCCAAAAACTTGATTTCCGAGAATGGAGAATTTCGAAACCCATAGTGGGAATTCCAAAAAACATTGACAATCTCGAGAAATTTTTGGGGTTTGGGGGTGAAAGTGGAGGGGCTATCCAAAAAACTTGATCCGAGAATAGAGAATTTTCGAAACCCTACGCCCATAGGGGGGGAATCAAAAACTTGTATTATCGAGAAAATTTGGGGTTGGGGGTGAAAGTGGGAGGGGCAATCCAAAAACTTGATCCGTGAGCTCATAAGAATTTCGAAAAAACCCCCATAGGGGGGAAACCAAAACTTGTATTCACGTAGAAAAATTGGGGGTGAAAGTGGAGGGTAATCCAAAAAACTTGATATCGAGGAAGTGGAACTTTGAAATAGAGAAATTTTTTGGGTTGGGGGGGTGAAAGTGGAGGGGAGATCCGAGAGATCAATAAGACTTTCGAAACCCCATAGGGGGGAATCCAAAAAACTGTATTATCAGAAAAATTGGGGGTGAAAGTGGGTAGGGGGGAATCCAAGAAAAACTTTGATCCGAGGAGATGGAGATTTGATTTCGAGAAATTTTGGATTGGGGTGAAAGTGAGAGGGGGAACTCAAAAATTTTAATCCGAGGAGATGGAGAGCACAAAAAATGAAATTCAAAAAAAATTCGAAAAAAATCGGAAAAAAATTCGAGACGCGGGGGCGATCCGGACGACGCTGCAGAAGGCGCAGCAGAAGGCGCGGGCGGGGGTCGCGAAGGGCGCGGCGGGCGCGCGGGCGGGCGCGGCCGGGCGGGCGCGCGGGCGGGCGCGCGGGCGGGCGCGCCGCGCGACGGGGGGTCGCGAAGGGGGGGGTTCGTGGGCGGGGGTAATGGTTGGGGGGTCAAGGGTGAGGTAGTCTCGAGGGCGAGGTCAAGGTCAAACCGGAAGTAACACCTAGGTGTGAAAAGGGGACCCTCCAGCTGCTGGCCCTAGACCGGATACCTCGCTCAGCCGTACCCCTAAACCGGATACCTCGCTCAGCCGTACCCCTAAACCGGATACCTCGCTCAGCCGCACCCCTAAAAACCGGATACCTCGCTCAGCCGCGTTTTTCACTACTTATATATATATATATATATAATATATATATATAATATATATATATATATATATATATATATATATATATATATATATATATATATATGCAATAAGATCACAGTAAACAGGTGATTTCAGAATATGCAAACAACCACTGTGAAAAAATAGTGAAATTCCAAGCGCTTTCGTGACTACTCACTATAATGTAATTGATAATGTGAGTAGTCACGAAAGCACTTGGAATTCCTCTATTTTTTCACAGTTATTGTTTTCCATATATATATATATATATAATATAAATATATATATATATATATATATATATATATATATATTTATATATATATAAATATATAAATATATATATTTATTTATTTATGTTATTGTGACCACGAACGAGTGGTATTGATCAATAACATCACTGCACTAGCCAAGCACTCGAACCGATGCTGCTTTGGCATCAAGCAGAACTGGATGTGGTACTCCCTACCCAAGGACACACGATGGTGTGGATGATTCTAGGCTAATTTCATTCTAGTCCCTGTTTGGTGTACTAGTTAAACGAGCAGTATTTTATATTACTGTGACCACGAACGAGTGGTATAGATCAATAATAACACTGCACTAGCCAAGGACTCTAACACATGCTGCTTTGGCCTGCATCATGGTGAGCAAAAACACATGAGGCCCTTATCCACTGAACAATACGATGATTAAGAGTAGGGCATCCAGCGGAACTGGATGTGGTACTCCCTACCCAAGGACACACGATCGTGTGGATGATGCTAGGCTAATTTCATTCTAGTCCCTATGTGTCCTTAGGTAGAGAGTACCACATCCAGTTCCGCTGGATGCGCTACTCTTAAGGATAGTATGGTTCAGTGGATAAGGGCGTCATGTGTTTTCGCCCACCATGAGGCAGGCCAAAGCAGCATGGGTTCGAGGCCTTGGCTAGTGCAGTGTTGTTATTAATTTAAAACACTCGTTCGTGATCACAATAATATAAAATACTGCTCGTTGAACTAGTACACCAAACAGGGACTAGAAAGAAATAAGCCTAGAGTCATCCACACCATCGTGTGTCCTCGGGTAGGGAGTACCACTGTGACCACAAATTTGTATTTGTGGTCACAGTGGTGCCTATGCTAACCTTCCTATGGTGTAGAAATATACCTAGTTGGACGAATGTTATTGTGGCTACCTGGTCCAGTGGCTAAAACGATGGTCTGGAGTTTTGAGACTCTCTGATCGCGGGTTCTATCCCAGCCCATAGTATGGTTTGTTTGCAATCGTGTCATTACGATTTCGTGAGTCATGTTGACGGCTTTAAGGGGACTTGAGCTAGAGTTCGTCATGCCCATGATAGCTGGAGATTCGTCTGTAAAAATTTGCATTTGTGATCACAGTGGTGCCTATGCTAACCTTCCTATGGTGTAAAATATACCTAGTTGGACGAATCTTATTGTGGCTAGCTGGCCCAGTGGCTAACGCGACGGTATGGAGTTTTGAGACTCTCTGATCGTGGGTTCTATCTCCGCCCGTGGTATGGTTTGTTTGCAATTGTGTCATTACGATTTCGTGAGTCAATCTTACTTGTACATCGACTTAAGTTTGGATTGATTTTGGCTTGTGTTGGACCCCATATCCTTTTTTTTGGAAGTGGAAAAGCTGAAATACTGCTTTTCAAGCGATAATTGTTGAATTTCTATCCTTCTATGCTGGTAATGTAACTTTTGAGCGGCTTCAACTTTAATGTGCTGATACAATTTTGGATATTTTGATCTTTGGTCCAAATTTAACAATTTTGAGAAACATACTTTGATATTAGGTTTTAAATGATTTGTGAGTCTGCATTGATTCCTTTCAAATATAAGACACTGTTATTTAACTGCATTTTGAAGTCATGCCGAACTCGGCACTGTTCCAAACCTGTGCATGGAGGCAGAGTTGACTGAAGTTATAGATTGAAAGACATATTTCTTAGAAAGTTTAGTAATCGAAATACATCACACACACACACACACACTTATATACACACCCACATACACACACACACACACACACACAACACACACAACCACACACACACACCCACCACACACACACACACACACACATATATATATATATATATTTATATACTCTATTATATATTTTTTTATTATATATTATATATATATAAACTATTATAATATTATATATACACTATTATAAATTATATATTATATTTATTAGATATATATATATATTATATATATATATATTATATATATACTATATATTATATATCATATATTTATATATTTATATATGTTTTTTTTTCAACAAGTCGGCAGTCCCACCGAGGCAGGGTGACCAAAAAAAAGAAAGAAAATCCCCAAAAAGAAAATACTTGCATATCATTCAACACTTTCACCAGTAGCACTCACAATTATCTATGTTTTTGCGAGGTGCTCAGAATAAACAGTTTTTAGAAGCATATTACGTATAAAGATACACAATAATATCCCTCCATACTATATATATATTTATATATATATATATATATATATATATTATATATATATTTATATATATATATATATATATATATATTTAAATATATATTTATTATATATATATATTATATATATATATATATATATTATATATATATATGTATAATATGTATGTAATATATATATATATTTTTATATATATATATATATATATATATGTATATATATTTATATATATATATAAACATATGTGTGTGTGTGTGATGTGTGTGTGCTATGTATGTATAATATTTTCCTTTTCCCATCAAGATTATTCCATGGCCAAAATTGCTGTTGACGGCCAGAAGAAAAACATCATTTATAAGATCAAAACACCTTTCACAAAAACTTCACGGCAGCAAGGTTCAGTTCGAGGTTCTGGGGCACAGCTCGTGGACTACTCTCTGAAGCACTTAACTTTCAGTACGCAAAAACCATGGATGTTGTTATATTGTTTCTACTTCCTTATATATATTATTAAATTATTATGGCTTTATATATATTATTACTATTGTTTATATATATATATTTATATATATTTATATATTTTAATTCTATATATATTTAATATATATATATTATATATTATATAAGGGGGTAGGAGGAGTTTCAGTGGGGGGAAATAAATGGATTAAATCTGGAGTATTGAGAGAGTTTGAGAGCAAAGGAAGGGGTAGCAGTAATGTTAAATGATCAGTTATTGAAGGAGAAAAAGAGTATATGAATGTGTAAATTCAAGAATTATGTGGATTCTAAAGTAAAGGTTGGATGCGAGAAGTGGGTATAATAAGATCGTGTATGCACCTGAGAAGAGAGGGAATGCAGAGGAGAGAGAGAGATTTTGGGGATGTTAAGTGAATGTATTAGGAGCCTTTGAACCAAGTGACGAGAGGTGAATTGTGGTAGGGACCTTGAATGCTAAAGTAGGCGAAACTTTTAGAGAGAGTTGTGGTAGGTTAAGTTGGGGTTGCAGGTGTAAATATAATGGGAGCCCTTTGATTGAATTTGTATAGAAAAGGGGTTTAGTTATAGGTAATACATATTTAAGAAAAAAGAGATATAAATAACGTATACAAGATAGATGTAGGCGACATTGACAGTAGTTTGTTGGATTATGTATGGTAGATAAAAGCTGTTGAGTTGACTTCAGGGATGTACATGTTTTAGAGGGGCCACAGATATATCATGATCACTTTTAGTTGTAGCTACACTGAGAGTAAAAGGTAGATGGGATACAAGGAGAATAGAAGCATCAGGGAAAGAGAGAGGTGAAGGTTTATAAACTAAAAAGAGGAGGCAGTCTAGGGTAAGATATAAACAGCTATTGGGAGGATAGATGGGCTAATGAGAGCATAGGCAATGGGGGTCGAAGAGGTATGGGGTAGGTTTATAAATGTTAGTGTTAGTGTGTTCAGCTGGAAGTTTTGTGCGTTACAGGAAAGTGGGTGCGGGAGGGAAGAGGATACGCGATTGGTGGGAATGATGATGTAAAGAGCGTAGTAAGGGAGAAAAGTTAGACTATGAGAAGTTTTTACAAAGTAGAAAGTGATGCACGGGGGGAAGAGTTATGGAGAGAAAGAGAGAGGTTAAGAGAGTGGTGAAGTGAGCAATGTAAAAAGAGAGCAATGAGAGAATGGGTGAGATGTTATCAACAAAATTTTGTTGAATAATAAGAAAAAGTTTTGGAGGTGAGATTAACCAAGTTAAGAAAAGCCTAGAAGAACAAAATGGATTTGTAGTTAAAAATAGGGAGAGGAGAGTTATTAAATGGAGAGTTAGAGGTATTGGGTAGATGGAGGGAATATTTTGAGGATTTGTTATAAAAATGTTGATGAAGATAGGGAAGCTGTGATTTCGTGTATAGGGCAAGGAGGAAATTACATCTTGTAGGAGTGAGGAAAGAGCCAGTGTGATGTGAGGGAAGTTCGTGGGCAGTAGGTTAAAATGAAAGGGGTAAGGCAGCCGGGATGATGGGATAAGATAGAATGTTAAAGCAGGTGGAGCGAGATAGTTTTGAGGTGGTTTGGATGCATTATTTAATAAAATGTTTTGATGAGGGTAAGGTACCTAGGGATTGGCAGAGAGCTGCATAGTTCCTTTGTTTATAGGCAAAAGGGGATTAAAGAGAGTGCAAAATTATAGGGGATAAGTCTGCTGAGTATACCTGGTAAGTGTATGGTTAGAGTTTATAGGAGTTATTATTGAAGAATTAAGAGTATGACGGAGAACTGGGATAGCAGATGAACAAGGAGGCTTTAGGAAAGGCTAGGGGGTGTGTGGACCAGGTGTTTTACAGTGAAACATAAAGTGAACAGTATTTAGATAAGGCTAAAGAGGTCTTTGTGGCATTTATGGATTTGGAAAAGGCGTATGACAGGTGGATAGGGGGCAAAGTGGCAGATGTTGCAAGTGTATGGTTTGTAGAGAAGTAGGTTACCGAAGCAGTTGAAGAGTTTTTACGAGGATAGTGAGGCTCACGTTAGAGTATGTAGGAAAGAGGGAATTATTTCCAGTAAAAGTAGGCCTTAGACAAGGATGTGTGATGCACCGTGGTTTGTATAATATATTTAAGATGGGGTTGTTAAGAGAAGTAAATGCGAGGGTCTTGACAAGAGGCGTGGAGTTACAAAGATAAGAGTCACACAAAAGTGAGGAGTTGTCCACAGGCTGCTCTTTGTGATTGACAATGTGCTCTTGGAGAGATTCTGAAGAGAAGTTGCAGAGACTTGGTGGATGGATTTGGTAGGAGTGGCAAAAGAAGAAAATTAAAGGTGAATACAGGAAAGAGTAAGGTTATGAGGATAACAAAAAGATTAGTGATGAATGAAAGATTGAATATCGATTTGAGGGAGAGAGTATGGAGGAGGTGAATGTATTCACATATTTGGAGTGACCGTGTCAGCGGTAGGGGTCTATGAAAGATGAGGTGAATCAATAGAATTGATGAGGGAAAAAAAAAGAGTGAGTGGTGCACTTAGGGCGTCTGTGGAGACAAAGAACTTTGTCCTTTGAGGAAGAGGGAATGTATGGAGAGTATAGTTTTACAACGCTCTTATATGGGGTGTGTGTGAAGCATGGGTGAATATGAATGTTGCAGCGAGGAGAAGGCTGGAGGCATGGAGATGTCATGTCTGAGGGCAATGTGTGGTGTGAATATTATGCAGAGGAATCGTAGTTGGAAGTTAGAGGAGGTGCGGGATACCAAAACTGTTGTCAGAGGCTGAGGAAGGGTTGTTGGAGGTGGTTCGGACATGTAGAGAGAATGGAGCGAAACAGAATGACTTCAAGAGTGTATCAGTCTTTTAATGGAAGGATGGGCGGGGTAGGGTTCGGCCTAGGAAAGGTTGGAGAGAGTGGGTGTAAGGAGGTTTTGTGTGCGAGGGGATTGGGACTTCCAGCAGGTATGCATGAGCGTGTTTGATAGGGTGATTGGAGACAAATGGTTTTTAAATACTTGAGTGCTGTTGGAGGTGAAGCAAAGTAACATTATGAAGGGGTTCAGGGAACGGCAGGCCGGACTTGAGTCCTGGAGATGGGAAGTACTCTGAAGGAGGGGTGTTAATGTTGCAGTTTAAAAACTGTAGTGTAAAGCACCCTTCTGGCAAGACAGTGATGGAGTGAATGATGGTGAAAGTTTTTTTTTTCCGGGCCACCCTGCCTTGGTGGGAATCGGCCAGTGTGATAATATAATAAATATATATATATATATATATATATATATATATATATATATTATATATATATATATATATATATAAACACTGCGCTAGACAAGGATACGAACCCATGTTGTACTGGCCTGCCTCATGGTAAGCGAGAATCACATGATGCTTTAAACCCCAGGACCACCCAACCGTACTGCTGGCTGCACCATTCTTGTAGGGTTGGGTGGTCCTGTAGTTTAAGCGTCATGCGGTTCTCGCTTACCATGAGGCAGGCCAGTACAACATGGTTCGAATCCTTGAAACCACGAACACAAGTGCTATTGATCAATAACAACACTGCGCTAGCCAAGGATTCAGACCCATGTTGTACTGGCCAGCCATTGTGAGAGAGAACCACATGACGGCTTAACCCACAGGACCACTCAATCCTACAAGAACCAAGCACCCAGCCAAGCTAGGTGTGTTACTCTTGGTCCAAGGACATACGGAGGTGTGGGAGATTTCAAGGTAATTTCATTCTCATCCCTGTTTGGTGTACTAGCCTTCGAGAAGCATACGTATATTATTGTAATCACGAACGAGTGGCATCGCTGCATTAGCATAGGCACCACTGTGTCAATGCTAACACGTTTGTCTGGAGTTTTACGACTCTCTAACCTCGAGCTCAATACCCGCCCGTGGTATGGTTTGTTTGCAATCGTGTCATTACGATTTCGTGAGTCATGATGACGGCTTTGAAGGGACTTGAACTAGAGTTCGTCACGGTCACGCTGGCGGGAGATTCGTCTATGAAAACTTGCGTTTGTGATGACAGTGGTGCCTATGCTAACCTTCCTAGGATGAATAAATATACCTAGTTGGATGATTTACTATGCCTTCCAAGAGGAAAGTATAGTAAATATTGCCCATTACTAGCTACCTTACCTGTTTTGTGGTATTATACCATATATAAGGAGGAGAATATAAATTATTTCAGCATATCGTGGTGGTCAACACGTCGTACAATCACAGCGTCTAGTATTATCTTCGAAACATGGGTCTCCTCTTAGCTGAAAAAAAAAAGTTCGCTCTCAGCCAGTTATCGTCGTATTTCTTACATACTACGTGTCAAAAACTATAGTCGAGGCAAATGGGATTTCAAAAAATTGTGAAAATGTCAATTTTGTGTTAAGACAACATTGAGGACTGTGCTTAGCTTCGTTTACCACCAGACAAGAATATTTTAATCCCAGAAATAGGAATTAAACTGATAGCATTATGTAATATACACTGACAGAGTTACACCTGTTGGTGTATATATCCTGGTAAAGCCTTTTAAAACCTAGCGTAAATCCGAATCTAAATATTAGAATGCTTTCATGATAACATCCAACTCACCTCACCTAAAAGTTTTCATTGAACAAATTTGTTACTTTTGCTATTCTGTGATTTCAAGTAGACTTTAAATACAGTTATAGTGGCTTAGTTATAATATGTAGTGAATTACTGTGTAACACAGAAGTCATTTTCAACACGTTATATATGTCACTCACCAGTTACTCCTACGTGCGGCCACCAGATGGAGAAGGTGGCATTAAGCTTAATAATGGATCGTGGTCTGGCATGGTAGGAATGGTCATGAGGCAGGTTAGTGATGTGTGACACTTCTGAAACCTTCTCTTGTACCACCAATAAAAATTAAAAAAATAAAGAAATTTAATATTACTTCCCTATTTTATTTTGCCTGATATAAAAAAAAAAATCCCACACAATCTCTCTGAGGCTTAGTACCCTCCGGACATGTAAACTAAATGTTCCTCTGATGTTGTTCACATTGTTGATAGGAAAATGTTATTTTCAGCCACTTAGACTGTGATAATTTTTCAGTCTTTTGAAGGTACTCACATCTCTGAAGAACATTATATGTACTGTTAAATCGTTTTTCCTATATTTGACTCGAGTCCTCATTAAGTGCCTCAGTAATTCGTGAACAAGTTGGTCTCGTTAGTATGACAGTTTTACATCGCTTTCTTGAACAGGAAGTAGACATCGGTGCTGGTCCTTACATGATTGATAGATGGAGAGCAGAGGTGGTAGACTTCACAGTGCCAATATTGATAGATTATTGGAGGATTCTGGCAGCTCGTGGACGTCCTGAGGTGGATCCCTGGGGCTTCCTGTTCCCCCTGACACCGCTGGTGTGGGCGGCCATCCTGGCGGCGCTGATGGTGCTTGCTACATTAGTGTTTCTCATGTCCTCCAGTGTATTTAACAGGATTCATGAGCAGAGGAACTGGTTACAGGTCACCTTCGTCTATGTTCGCATACTACTGCAGCAAGGTATGACCAGGATGACATTACTGAAGCTTCCTAGTTTCTGAAAATAGAAAATATTATTTTCATATATTTTTTTTTATTTCTAATCATATCTTTGTTGAAGAGCCACATCAAAAACTATTTATCTCTTCTGTACCTTATATGAATTAAGATTTAAATTTGCTCAGTTTCCATGCAAATATGATTCAATTAAAGAAAATTATAATTCAAAGAGGAAAATTATTTATATACTGAAGCAGATATCTCAGAGGTGAGTTGATTTGAAGATTTACAAAGAGAATGACAAAGAGCGAGAAACTGAGATGAGATTGTTATTAGAAGTACCTGTAAAACAACAACAGAAAAATTTAATATTGAGAAAATAGGGAAAAAGAAAAAAATAAGAGTTTTTGATATTGTCTACGTTAATATGAAATAAGCCTATGCCGTCAAATAATGATTTAGGAAGAAAAAAATCTTCTTCGCATTGAGTCAGTTATAATGGTAAACACAGATATCCCTCAAAAGCTTAATTCATCACTCAGAAAGCATGATAAAACAATTATCTTATTAAACATAATAAAACTCAAATGAAATCAGGAAGATTCGAAAAGACAGACGTGGTATTGTGAGCAGGACAGTTAATATCTCAGAGGATAACTAATTTTTTCCCCTCCAAAAAAAATTGATTGGTGACTGGATTTGAAATGTAAGTTACGAGGCAAGACAAGGGCACTCACTACCTCTTAAGAGATAAAAAAAAATCAGGGATGAATAAGAATAAGTGATAATGTATCAAATACCTATGAGTTAACGAGAAAAATACAAATAACTGGAAGAAAGTGTTCATAGTTGTTAAAGAAATAAACCACTTTATTTTATAGAGGAATTAAAGTTACTGATGAAACTATCGTCTATCTCCACTGTCGAGGTACAACGTTCAGTACAGCAGTCAGTTTTAAGTAGGACAAATATTTACACTCCCGTAATGCCAGACATTTGTGGTCATGTGCACACCCGTGGTCATGTGCACACTGGTGGTCATGTGCACACTGGTGGTCATGTGCACACTGGTGGTCATGTGCACACTGGTCATGTGCACAGTGTCATGTGCACATGTGTGGCATGTGCACATGGTGGTCATGTGCACATTGGTGGTCATGTGCACACTGGTGGTCATGTGCACATTGGTGGTCATGTGCACACTGGTGGTCATGTGCACACTGGTCATGTGCACACTGGTGGTCATGTGCACACTGGTCATGTGCACACTGGTGGTCATGTGCACACTGGTGGTCATGTGCACACTGGTGGTCATGTGCATATTAGTTGTCATGTGTACACTTGGTGTCATGTGCCTGGTCATTGCAATTGGTGTTCATGTGCATACTGGTCATGTGTACACTGGTAGTCATGTGCACACTGGTGGTCATGTGCATACTGGTGGTCATGTGCACACTGGTAGTCATGTGCACACTGTGGTCATGTGCACAACTGGTGATCATGTGCAACACTGGTGGTCATGTGCACACTGTTGGTCATGTGCACACTGGTGGTCATGTGCACACTGGTGGTCATGTGGATATTGGTGTTCATGTGCACACTGGTGGTCATGTGCACACTGGATGGTCATGCACACTGGTGGTCATGTGCACACTGGTGGTCATGTGCACATGGGTGTCATTGTGCACAGTGGTGGTCATGTGGATATGGTGGTCATGTGCACATGGTGTCATGTGCACACTGTGGTCATGTGCAACATGGGAAATGGCACATTGGTTTTGTCAAGTGCACACTTTGGTTGATGTGCACACTGTGGACATGTGCAACACTGAGTGACATGTGCACACTGGTGGTCGGTGCATACTGGGTCATATTTTACGGTGACATGTGGCTCACTGTGGTCATGTGCACACTGGGGTCATGTGCCACTAGTGGTCATGTGCACACTGGTGTCATGTGCACATTGGTTGCCCGTGCAATTATGTGTCTTGTCAACATTTTCACCATCATTTACTCTCAACAAGAAAAAAAAAAACGCGTATAATCTATTATAATTCACAACGTGCGTGCACAGCAGTTTGCCAAAATACGGTAAATATCGCCGAAATCAAACGACAGTATTATTTGTACAAAGAAGGAAAAAAGACATCTAAGTAGGCATGCGTCACCTTCCATAAAAAAGTCCGGTTTTCACTGTTATTTTGTAGACCTTGTGATATGTTTCTTGTTAACATTTAGCTTTCTTTCTCAGTATTAAAGAAAATATATACTCTATTTTCAAAATGGCGTCCACCTCCAGTGCAAATTATAGGACCCACGCCTCGAGAAGTGATTCTTATATCTTAGATAAAATGTACATTTGATAATACCGAAATGAAATATTATGTTAAGTTGAATCTGAGTGATGTAGCTTATGCAGAATTAATAAAAAATAATATTTTCTGGCAGCTGAATAATAAGATTCTGGAAGTTGACAGACCCCTCCCTAAAGTAATGTAATGGTGATGGAGAATCAATAGACCGACGTTCGTATCTTGCTGTTTTGCCCATACGCTCTGCCACAATGAAAAGTATGGACGCAAACCAGAAAGAGGACTGAAGTACTCTTCAGTTTACTGTTTTACTTCTCAATATGAGCATATTTCCGCTTAAATTACTTAATTAACAGAATGTGGTTATTATATAGAAATCACAAGAATAGAAATGAAAAACAAAAACCTTCTTGATTACAAGTCAATTCTTTCAGGGGGATTCACTATCCTTCCAACCTATCTCAAAGGAAGATGTTTGGGAATCTACACTACCAGAAAAATCTCACTTCCCACGTCTTTTCTTACTACCCTTAATGCCAGGATATGCTACTTCTGGGCAAGACTGGGTCCAGTTCATATCCTGGGAAGTAGGTAGAAGTTCAGGGGTAGAAACTGTTGGTGGCACATTGGGTTCAGACGAGTTATCAAAATCATCAAGAATTTTCCCCTCAAGCAGTGGCTTACCACTTCCAGTTATTGTTTTAGTACACAGCATCACCAACCATGCACAGGTGACTCTTAACGTCCTCTTACAACTTCAGCTGTAGTCTTGTATTGATGTTGGTAGAATTACCTATTTTTATGCTACCCAAGCAATATGCTTTTATAACCTCTTTACTCATGTACAAGTTGATTTTTCTGCTACATGTATTACTACTACTACTACTATACTACTACTACTACAACTAGTATTACAACTACTACATCTCAATCTAATTCTATATATATATCCTCTGTGTCCATGTGTTGTGTATTGTTTGTAACGGCTTGACAAATCTCCTGGAGAGCGAAAGGTTGCCACAATAAAAAGTCACATTAGTTAAACTTGTGACCTTTTACTTAACAATTTCTCACTTATTATACAAAAACCTACACACATGGATATTCAAAGATCCACCTTGAGACCTCTGTAAACTTTCTTTCAGGTTCACACTGTCCTCTCGTCCACACCACTAGAAGGAGTAACATACCATTATTACTACAAATTTGCTCCAACTCCTGTGACACAAAATAGGTTGCATAGGTTGAAATATATACTTTTTCGTTAGGTTCGGAATGATTTTTGTGAAATTATTGAATACACAAATTTTAGTTTGCCTTATTCGACAAGAAGAGTATTGTTATTCAAGCGAATATAGCATTTTTTATCTATTCGGCACGACACACACACACACACACACACACACACACACACACACACACACACACACACACACACACACATATATATATATATATATAATATATATAATATATATATATATATATATATATATATATATATATATATATATATATATATAGATATATATATTATATATATATATATATATTATATATATATATATATATATATATATATATATATATATATTATATATATATATATATATATATATATATATATATATATAGTGTGTGTGTGCATTTTAATTGGGACAGCGGTGACACAAGACATTTATTTGAGAGATTAATGTTTTTCGAATAATAAACGTCATTGATATGACAGATATTTGATTTAATATTATGAATACTCTTTCCTTTTGTTTTAATAAGTATTACTGCACGCTTTGGCATATATATTTTGGCAAGTTCTTCGTCGAGGTACCAGGTCGTAATAACAGCACCACGTAGCTTCTCCACAGATGAACAGTCCTGTTTTGTGATTATGCGATTGGTTATTTCCCGTAGATTCTCAGTTGGGTTGAGGTCAGGAGAGTTTCCAGGCCAATGAAAGGTGACCCCTTGGAGACACTAATGTTCTGTAAAGTTCCTTAACTTTATGGAGACAGAAATTTCCTAACAGTGAACTGCGAGAGGAGATGCATTAAGTGACAACAGACAAATACCCAAAGATTTTACCTTTCTTTTCCTCTACATTTACTTTCAGTCTAAGTAAATCATTTGATTAATAATATATTTTTTTACTATCAATACAGAAATGACGATGACTGTTCCCGAAGTGAGAGAAAATAATTTTGTTAACTGTGGCTAATGTTCTCGCTGGTTTTAACATTGAGTTATTCCTGTAATTAACATAGATATGGCAGTGCCAATCTGTTGGTGGGAGCGTGTAATGTTGTTAGTATGGATAATGGTAACGTTGGTATTAACGAGGAGTTACGCTGGAAATCTAATGGCTCTCCTAGCAGTAAGACACATCTCTCAGCCCTACCAGACGCTGAGGGACGTTGTTGACGATCCTTCAGTTACAATGATATGGTCCAAAGGTTCTGCGGTTGGCCCTTATTTGAAGGTGAGTCAGGAGAAAAAAGGAACCTTAATTTCCATCAGTGTATGCGAGAAACATTTAGTATTTAAAAATAACAGTATCCAAAGTACGTAGAAATTTATTAATTTTTTCGGCTGTATATATATTCGTATGTCACGGAAAACAGTTTTTTTCTGGAATAGCAAACAACAGTTTCGGATATCACTAAGTAAGCAGCAATCAAAACAATGAAAATTAAATAAAATTTAGAAATTCGCATTAAGAAACGTCATTGTGCAGGCCATTATTTCTATCAGTTTATCCAGAAGTGTCTCCAACTTGAGAATAATGCAGCCTGAGATATGTTTACTCTGATATATCTCCGCCCTGACATTTTTCCACACTGAGATATATCCAGCCAAGAGTTGTTTTCATAGTGAAAGAACTCCAGGCCGAGACATGTACTCCAGCCCGAGGCGCGTACTCCACCCCGAGGCACGTACTCCAGCCCGAGGCACGTACTCCAGCCCGAGGGACGTACTCCAGCCCGAGGCGCGTACTCCAGCCAAGTGCAAAATCATGAAGATTGGGCAAGGACAAAGAAGACCGCGGACGGACTACAGTCTAGGGGGAAAAGACTACAGACCTCACTCAGGGAAAAAGATCTTGGGATGAGTATAACACCAGGCACATCTCCTGAAGCGCACATCAACCAAATAACTGCTGCAGCATATGGGCGCCTAGCAAACTTCAGAACAATATTCCGATATCTTAATAAGGAATCGTTCAGGACCCTGTACATCGTGTACCTTAGGCCCATACTGCAGCATGCGGCACCAGTTTGGAACCCACACCTAGCCAAGCACGTAAAGAAACTAGAGAAAATGCAATGATTTGCAACAAGACTAGTCCCGGAGCTTTGGGGTATATCCTAGGAGAAGAGGTTAAGAGAAATCGACCTGACGACACTGGAGGACAGGAGAAAGAGGGGGGACATGATAACGACATATAAAATGCTGAGAGGAATTGACAGGGTTGACAGAGACAGAATGTTCCGGAGATGGGACACAACAACGAGGGGTCACAGTTGGAAGTTGAAGACTCAGATGAATCACAGGGTTGTTAGGAAGTATTTCTTCAGTCACAGAGTAGTCAGGCAGCGTAATAGCTTGGGAAGCGATGTAGTGTAGGCAGAATCCATTCATGGCACTCACACAAAGGGCAAAAAAGACCACAGTCAGAATACAGCCTAGGGGGCCAAAGACTACATACCTCGCTCAAGGAAAAAGATCTTGGGATGAGTGTAATACCGAACACATCTGAGGCGCACACCAACCAAAAAACTGCTGCAGCATATAGAGGACTAGCAAACCTAAAAGTAGTTTTCCGACATCTCAGTAAGGAGTCGTTCAGGACTCTGTACACCGTGTACGTCAGGCCTATATTTAAGTATGCAGCACCAGTTTGGAACCTCACCTGGGCAAACACGTCAGGAAATTGACCTTACGACACTGTATAACAGGAGGGACAGGGTAGACATGATAGCAACATATAAAATATTAAGAGGAATCGAGAAGGTGGACAGAGATAAGATGTTCCAGAGATGGAACGTAGCGACAAGGGGTCACAATTGGAAGTTGAAGTTGAAGTCACAGAGTTGTTAGGACGTGGAATCATCTAGAATGTGAGGTGGTGGAGGCAGGAGCCATACATAGCTTCAAGAAGAGTATGAGAAAGCACGGGGAGCAAGGTTTTAGTGACCTAGTAGCGACCAGTGTAGAGAAGGGGCCAGGAGCTATGAATCAATCCTTGCAACCACAATTAGTTGAGTATACATGAGGGAGAGGGAGGGGCGGATACACTGCATTATCTTGGGCTGTAAGAAGGCTTGTGATGTACAAAGGATAGAGGAGCAGGCAGGAATAACAGGAAAAGTACTGCCGTGGATCAAGGAAAACCTGACAGGAAATCAACAACGAGTGATGGTAAGTGACTAGGTGCCAGTGTGAGCACACATGTCGAATGGTATTCCACAAGAGTCAGTCCTAAAGCCTGTACTGTTTCTTTTATAAGTGAATGACAAAACGAAGTGAATCTAATGCGGAGAATTTAAGTGGATAGGGATCAGCTAAGCCTGCAAAGAGATCTGGACAGGCTCCAAACCTTGTCCAACTAATGGCTCCTGCAGCTGAATACCACCAAGTGGAAAGTCATAAAGCTCGGCGAAGGTCAAAGAGAACAGCAGATGGAGTACGTGCTCAGTGGTCAAAAGCCGCAAACCTGAATCAAGGAAATGTATCTTGGGGTGAGAATCATACTGAGCACATTCCCTGAGGCGCATATCACCCGAATAACTGCTGCAGCATAAGGACATTTGGCAACCCTAAGAATAGCATTTCAACATCTAAGTAATGAGTCATTCAAAACAGGTAGGGTTATAACTTTTTTACAGTTATATTCCTGTACCTTAATCAAATGAACTTTTGCCTAAAACCAATGAAATGACCTTTCATTTCAATATCTTTTTAGAAAATATCACCCGTAAATGAAAAAAAAAAACGAGTAACGAAAAAAAGTAACTTGAATGCATATTGCATGTATTGTTAATAACAAATAAAACAGCTTACAGCATCATTGTGATCATGTTTATACATATACTACTACTTATTACTTAGAATAAACCGAAGTTACAGTTTTTATTTTTTTCTGCAGCAGCATACAGTTTCTGCATAACTTTGATTGCACGTTCATCACACTGATTACTTCTTGGTATACTGAGTGTGGACGGCTCCTACTTACAGTGATTTTTCAATGAGTTCAGTGCTTTTTTGTAAGGTTTCAATATTTCTGACAAATTCTTGAAGTCATTTTCATCGTATATCTGATCATACAACTGCCCAGGTGTATGAAATAAATCTGCATATCTTCTCCAAAGTCTTCCGTCTTGTAGGTATAAGAATGAATGCAAGAATAGCTAGTTCACATCATCTCACCATCCTGATTTATGGAGGATTTCTTCTGTTCCATTAACAAACTGTGACTTTAGTTCCTCATAATTCATCATCAGTTGGGATACAAATAGATACTCGAGGTTTGGAGAGAACTGGTTTTAGCACCAAGATTTTCATCCATTACCAAACTGAGAATCCTGTCCAGAACGTGATGTTGACAACAGCTCCACTCTTTTTCCCTGTGTTAACGTTTGTTGTATCAGCAATGATCATCTTTATTGCATTCCATAAGTTGGATTCATCAATAACTTTTGCCATTCCTTCAGCAATAGTTTCGGTCTTGCCATCTTTCAAATGAGTGCATCCAGTTTTACTTCGGTTCTTTCATTTTTAAGTACTAATATCTGATGCTCATTTTCCTTAATGCACTTTCCATCGAAATGTAAAGACCATTCTTTGATTTGTAAATTTTCAATAATTTCCTCCAACTTCGCAGCCTCTTTGTATGTTGACTTGTAAATTGCTGCTTGACTTGGTGTAGGAATGCCAATGACATCAAATGACAAGTGTTTGCACATCCTGGCGGCTTTACTTGTTGATACTTTTCTGGATGTCAACAAATTGGTTGCAACTTTACTTTTGTTGTGTTTTCTGGTTGGTGGAGTAGTACTTTCATCTTCATCTTCATACTCGCTCCCTTCACATTCAGTACCACTGTCACTCGATGCATGATCGTAAGATGGTGATGCTGAAACTGATTCAGCAGGCAGTTTCCGTCTTTTTGAAGGATGAATAGTTTTTTTCACTTGCAACTTGACCTATAGAGTATCCCACTTCTCCTTTGCTTTCCACTTGAAGCTGGTACAGCTGTTTGTCTTCAGAGGATAAATATTGGCCATTTACTTTTGTGATATCAAAAAGTTCATATTTTTCATCAATTTGAGTTGTCATTTAGTACTTTCCTGAGTTGCTACTTATGAGCAGTAACACATATATATGGCGATTCATTGTTTTTATTTAATTAAGGGTGACCTTTTTTTAAAAATGAGAGGAATTAGGTTTTTTTTTTCATTGTTTTAAAACAAAAGTTCATCGATTTATGACACAGGAGATGAATTTGGAAAAAGTAAAAAAGTTATAACTCTACTGTACACCTTCTATGTCAGGCCCATATTGTAGTGCATGCAGCACTAGTATGTTAGGCCCATATTGGAGTGCATGCAGCACTAGTATGTTAGGCCCATATTGGAGTGCATGCAGCACTAGTATGTTAGGCCCATATTGGAGTGCATGCAGCACTAGTATGTTAGGCCCATATTGTAGTGCATGCAGCACTAGTATGTTAGGGCCCATATTGTAGTGCATGCAGCACTAGTATGTTAGGCCCATATTGGAGTGCATGCAGCACTAATATGTTAGGCCCATATTGGAGTGCATGCAGCACTAGTATGTTAGGCCCATATTGTAGTGCATGCAGCACTAGTATGTTAGGCCCATATTGGAGTGCATGCAGCACTAGTATGTTAGGCCCATATTGGAGTGCATGCAGCACTAGTATGTTAGGCCCATATTGGAGTGCATGCAGCACTAGTAAGTTAGGCCCATATTGGAGTGCATGCAGCACTAGTATGTTAGGCCCATATTGGAGTGCATGCAGCACTAGTATGTTAGGCCCATATTGTAGTGCATGCAGCACTAGTAAGTTAGGCCCATATTGTAGTGCATGCAGCACTAGTATGTTAGGCCCATATTGGAGTGCATGCAGCACTAGTATGTTAGGCCCATATTGGAGTGCATGCAGCACTAGTATGTTAGGCCCATTGATGCTGCAGCACGTAGTAGCCCATATTGGGGCAGCACTAGTATGTTAGGCCCATATTGGAGTGCATGCAGCACTAGTATGTTAGGCCCATATTGGAGTGCATGCAGCACTAGTATGTTAGGCCCATATTGGAGTGCATGCAGCACTAGTATGTTAGGCCCATATTGGAGTGCATGCAGCACTAGTATGTTAGGCCCATATTGGAGTGCATGCAGCACTAGTATGTTAGGCCCATATTGGAGTGCATGCAGCACTAGTATGTTAGGCCCATA